ATGTCTCTTGCTGTTGTCTTCGTTTCCCACTAGGTTTGTTAACATATTAATCATAGTTATTTTAAAGTCTTTCTCTGGTGGTTGCAACATCTGGGTTACTTCTGAGTCTGCCTCTCATTTTATTATTGGAATGACTATCTGGGTGTGTTTTTGTTTTTTTTAATGTTTACATTTTTAAACTTATGCACATCTGGGGTGGGGAAATTATAGTCTATTCAAGATAGGTGACTTAGCACAAAAAGTGAAGCCGAGCTGTTGATTTACATCAAATCTGATCTGAAAGGCTGAACTTTTGGATAACTGAAGTTAGAAGGTTAACTTAGATATGGAAAAATGAGTCACTGCAGATTATTAAAACTTATTTTGCTTATAGTTCAGATAGGTTCTAATTTTTTCTTTCTACTAAATTGAAGGAGGATTTAAGTGAGTTTCAGATCATTAAAAATTTTTGATGGTAGACTATAATGGGATTTTTGATATAAAATTCAGAAGGAATTCAAAGTATTAATGTATATTATTACAATTACTATCCTTCTATTAGTATATACTTATTTGTGGAGATGCTTTCAGCATTTATATTTATAAAAACATAGGAAGAGAATTGGTGCTAGAACTCTCATTCTAGCACTATATAATATTCACCTATACATTCAGGAAGTAATTTTTTTTTTTTAATATATCTTTATTGATTTCAGAGAGAGACAGGGAGAGGGAAAGAGAGAGAGATAGAAACATCAATGATGAGAGAGTCAATGATCAGCTGCCTCCTGCATGGCCCCTACTAGGGATTAAGCCCCCAACCTGGGCATGTGCCCTGCCCAGGAATCAGACCGCAATCTCCTGGTTCATAGGTTGATGCTCAACCGCTGAGCCACGCCAGCTGGGCTGCAGGAAGTAATCTTTTAAAATGAGTCTCATCATCTATCTTACTGGGAGATGCATTCCAATAAAAATTTTCTATATTATTATAATTGCAATTTGTAATGTATTTATATTGCTTTGATTTAAGTGTATACAATATATGAAATTATTTAACACTTAGACCTATACATAAGGGTAATAGGAAATAATGTTTTTAAACTTTCAATTTATATATAATTATGGTAAAAGAATTTAAACCATAAAATGTTAAACTAAAATATACACGTTCTCAGAGGAAAAGGAATAATATAAATTTCCGAATAGTAAAGAATGGTTTATTGTATTTTAAAAAATATAATAGATACTACTGAGTTTCAAATCACTATGTTGATTTGATTCCATAGAATACATTTTAAAAAATGATGTGACAGTTTTATTTTAAAATGTTAATATTTACAATAGACTAGAAATTACAATAAACTGTTTGATGTTATTAATTTCTCTGAAGGTTATCTCCATTCCAGCCAACTGGAAAGGAAAAGACATGGAAAAACGCTTGTGGGATGTTTTCAGGCTCTAGATCTGAAAGTGTGCATATTGCATTCATTCACTTCACTAGCTAAAATCAGTCACATAGCCTTACCTCACTGCAAGGGAGACTAGGAAATATAATCTGGCTATATGTCTGGGAAGCAGAAAAGAATATGTATTTTGGTTATGAGCAGCAATCAGTCTGTATCATATTCTTATATAGCCTTATAGTGCTATATTAACACAGGTAATTGGCATTAGGCAGTTAACTGAGCTTGAACAATTATGGTTTCCTGTAATAAAGAGATACTCTTCCATTCTGTGTTTGTCAGTGTCTGTCAATATTTACTGAGGTCTGTGTGCACCCTGTGCTGAGGTTGTGGGAACTATAGGAGAGCTTACAATGGTTGGGCAGATAAAATTGAATGAAGTAAGCCAATAATGAGTAATGAAATATTCATTTCATTACGTGCTAAGTTGTGTGGTATAGACTAGGTGATATGAAACTAAAGAGAAAAAGATAAGTCCTGGTATCCCTTCATTCACCAATCAGCAAGTACTTATTGAATGACTACTATGTGTTGGGGTTGTGCTCTTTGGGGAAACAGTAGAGAGCAAAAATAGACAAGAGGAACCTAAAGTCTGTGGAGGTGTAAGAGGGAGTGTGACAAATGAATCAGATAATTATACAAACATACAAAATTGCAAAAGCAAGAAAAGATGTGATGGCACAAGATCCTGTATAAGGGGATTCAACCACAGTTAGGATGAATAGAACTAGAATCCCTGAGCTAAGGTTTTGTGTAGATATGAATTAGAGTGGATGTCAGCCACAAGAGTAAAGGACTAGAAGTGAAATAGGTAAGATGTACACATGGGACAGTGAAACAGCTACTCTGACTGGAATACATAATGCTTTGGAGGGAATGGAGAACATACAAAGATAGGGTTAGATTATGAGAATTTTCAAAACAAAACAAATTTAGACTTAATTTTGTCATTAAATCAAAACTCATGGAATGTTTCTGAGGCAACAAGAATATAATAAAAATAAGGAAAAAGTAGTATCTGTATGGTGGATTCAAGGCAGGTGAAGCTGATTTTAAATTTGTTTTCCAATATCCAGGCAGAAAGTAAGATGAGTTTATCAGCAAATTAGATACAGATAAAGAAAGGATTAGATATTTTTTGAGAAAGTAAGTGGAGAGAATTTCTCATCAGCAGACCTGCATTTAAGGACAGAAAGGGTAAATTTGTGGGGTATATATAAATGAATGTCTTATGGAGTTTAAATTATATGCAGAATTCAGACACTTAACAGCACAAAGATGGGGCAAGTGTTAGTGTTACACAGTTGGTGTTAGCGTTACACAGTTCTTTCATTGTCTGGATGATGTATAAAGTACTAACTTAATTCCTACGTTGTAATTTCTAGGGTAACCACTAAAAGAATAGTGACATAATGTATAAATAAGTTCACACAGTAGGGAAATGAAGTAGTAAAACCAAAAAGAAGGCAAGAATGGAGAGAAAAATAAGAGGATATGTGATTCAAATAGGAAGAAGTACAATGTTAGACTTAAGTTCAAATATTTAGTTAACTATCTTAAATGTAAATAGACAGATGCTCATTAAAAATATAGTCAAATCTGATTATTTTAAAGACCCAATTATATGCAGCTTGTACGAGTTATAGCTTGAAGTTTAGGGTTTAGAAAAGGTGAAAGTTAGCCCGGCCAGGCGTGGCTCAGCGGTTGAGCATCAACCTAAGATCCAGGCGATTGGGGTTCGATTCCCGGTCAGGGCACATGCCCAAGTTGTGGGCTCGACCAATAACTCATCATTGATGTTTCTCTCTCTCTCTCTCCCTCTCCTTTCCTCTCTCTGAAATCAATAAAGATATATTAAAAAGAAAAAAAAAGAAAAGGTGAAAGTAAAGAGATGGAAAAGTTACATAGTATTGCATAGACTTAACTAAACCAGTCCCTGTACTTGTGCCATGCTGTGTCTAGCTCCTAGTGGTTGCTAGATTTAAATCAGATAATCTTACTTACAGTTTTTTAAAGTACTGTCCTGTATACATATTAAGTTACCAATACACTTAACTGTTATGTTTGAGGCACCTTGTTTCTTAAGATAGTATTTTTTCCCCGTTTTGAACTGATATAGCAAGGACAGACTATACCTTGCACCAGTGTACATATTTGTCTTACATGTTGCTTGATTTTTCAGGCACTTCCATATGTACACATATAATCCCTTAAGCTTTATATTTTCACTGAACTCACTAACTGTTATGGCTATTATTTCTTATCTTTATTTTAGATCTGCTTTGTGTTGCCTCTGCCTAATGATAATATGTGAATTATTTTATGCAAAAATAATCTCCTTTGATTAATACCTGTCGACTTTCCAAACTAAATGACATTCTTCTCTTTTTTTATTTCCTGGGCTTTTAAGGAAGTATTCAAATTCTTGAGTATTTTATAAATTATTATTCACATAATGAATGTAGATCTCCTCCATCATGTTAGTTACCTTTTAGCATGAGGCATTTTTGAAGAGTAGATGGGGATGTAATACTTTATAAAATAATTGTACAGAAGTAATTAGAGAATCTTGACAGGACCTTTCTTTTATGACAGTCTGTTATACCTTGATTAAACATTGATTGGAGAAACTTAAAAGACATTTGTTGCCCGGCTGGGTGTGGCTTAGCTGTTGAGCATCAACATATGATCCAGGAGATTGTGGTTCGAGTCTCAGTCAGGACACATGCCCGGGTTGCAGGCTCCGTCCCCAGTTGGGGGTGTGCAGGAGGCAGCCGATCAATGACTCTCTCATCATTGATGTTTCTCTCTCTCTCTTCCTCTCCCTTCCTCTCTCTGAAGTCAATAAAGATATATTAAAAAAATACATTTGTTTTGTTCTGCCTCTGTTTCATTTAGCTTTTTGGGAAGTAACGTTTTTTGTCAGACTGAAGGAGAAAATTAAAAATGTTTATATTTACTCAGGGCTGCATCACCCAAAATTAGTTTCCTTAGACAACCAAAGTTGGTGTAATTCTGGACTAAATTTGGTCTCCTGCCCATATGTTGGCAGGTACATTTGTATCTGTGGAGTGTTCTAAGCCTTTCAGAAATGACTAAAGAGGGCTTTTCTTTTGTGTTTCTCCTTTAGAACCTGGGAAAATGAAATTTGTCTTAGTTAATTTGGTGGATAGTGATAAAGCCAAATATCTGTGTCCTTTTTTTTCTCTGTGTTGAATATGAGGCTTAATTCTTGGGAGTTTTAAAGTAATCTTTTTCTTATAAATTTTACCTAATATTAACAAACTTTTATACATTTTTGTAATTTAAGTAATAATTTCTTCATAGCAAGTCATCTGACCTGGATTGTCAAGAAAGTTAACTACTAGAGATGGAAGACAGAACTCATAACTCATTGTGGTTTCACTCCTGTATTCATTTCATTTATCTTTGAACAGGTTGTTCCTTTCAATAGCTTTGGTGAAATGCAAGAACATATTTTCACTTGAGCGATTGTCTTAAAAGTTGTAGGAAAGTTCAGTACCAAATTAATGATAGCCATGTTGTATTGTTTAATAGGCAGTGAAATCAGCTGTGCAGACCATCACTGTTGGAGGCGTGAGCACATCACAATTTAAGACAATTATTCCTCTGGCAACTGCTCCCAATGTCCAGCAGATCCAAGTGCCTGGAAGCAAGTTTCATTATGTCCGACTTGTTACTGCCACAACTGCCAGTAGCTCAACCCAGCCAGGTAGTCAGAATCCCAGTACAAACACTCAGCCTCTTCAGCAAGGTTAGTAACCATTTTTTAAAATAGTAATTAATGCTTTGAACATTATTAAAGAACATCAGTCCTTTTCTTGCTGAAATTCTGATTAAGTATGGAATTTCAGCTGAGAGATTGAGTCAGCAGCTATTATAGAAAGCAGTGAAATAGAATCATAGTTCTATATGACTGTAGTGTTTCATTCTGCTAGAAGTTGGTACTCACTGTGCTCTGCTACCAATAATCATAATTATTCTTCAATTTGTCATTGGCTATTTTATTACTAGTTAAAATTCCACCATTTATGCGAGTGAGATAAATTTAGATGGAACCAAATTATTTCTTATTTTCTAAACTATGAAGATGCTTGATAAGGTTTGGGTCAGTTGACATGACCAGTAGGCAAGGAATAAATGATAAGTAAAAACTTACATCACTTTCATTCTTATTTTAAATCTGTAATTGCTAATAAGTAGCCATTAAAGTGTTCTGTTATTCTGCTCAGTTGTATTTTTTCATGTGGGTATTCCTTTTTATAGTCCTTCCATTTTCTGTTTGTGTTTTAGCCTTTCTACCACCTGAAATGTAGACTCACACACATAACCTTTCTCCATATTTATTTACTTAAAAAATTGAATGGTGTAAAAGGATCAGGACAGTTTATAGTTTAGGGCCTAATTTTTTCCCTTGGAAGACTGCTGCATGTTCCAATGATGTAAAAAAGCAGTTGATGGCAAGTGAATGATTTGTTGTTTATTAGATGTAAATAGAAGAATTAAAGACCGCTTTTATATTCTTTTTTATTAAGGAATCAGAGGGTTGGAGCTATCTATTTCTGATAGCTAGTTTACTTAAGGGAAAATCTATTTTGTAAATTACTGATGGGAGAAAAATGGAGGATGAATGAGAGAAACAGTATTTTAGTGTATATTTCACTAAATTAGACATATCAAGCAATTATGTTTTCCAGTCCCTCTTTAAACTGATTGTGGAGAAAATCTTTTATTATAGTGTTCTTAATGAGAGGAAAAATGAAACATATTGCTGATGAGGGGAATCAATTTTTATATTCTTTATATACTTAAACTTAGCAGAGTACTAACAGAAGTACTACAAGTTGGATTTCCTTAGATATTGTAATGATATAAAGCAGTCATTAGATACAATTGGTTATATTTTATGTGTGTGTTTGTATGTACACAATATGCTGAGTGTTTATTTCCAGTGTAATGTTAAGACTAATTTATTCCTTATCAAGAATACGCCTTTGATATAAGTAGAAAAGGGAGCTGAAGATGCAGAAAGAATGGAGGAATGGGTTGGACATTTCCTAATTCTAGTGTACTTACTGGTGCCTCCTTTTCCAACTTCATGTCTGTCTTTCTGCTTCTCTCTACCGCTCCATTCTCTTTGCCTCCTAGAAATGCCTCACCTCCCCCTTCTGCTTCCCCGATTCTTCCTTTTTTGCTTTCCACCTTCAACTTTCCATCTCTGCTCTCTCTGTCTCTCTGCTCCTTCCACACCCTCACATACACTTACTATTCGTGCGATTTCCCTTATATCCACCTGTATTTTTCTCTTTTTATCTTTCTCTTCTATCCCATAAAAGATCTAGGTATATATAACATATACTATTTCACAGGAATAATGAGTTAAATTTAGTTTTTGTTAGAGATACATGAAATAGTTGCTCTAGTTTATCAAATGTATTATGATGTCTTTCTAAGGGCTTAATTTCCTGTGAGCAGTTTACTTATGCCAAAGGGAATTGGGTTCATCTTGTACATTTTCCCACCAAAGTCACAAAAATCAGTATGAAAAGGCTGCATACTGTTAATTGCTGGCTGGATGTCAGACAGCACTGTAGAAACACCCAGAAGAGTGCTTGGTTAACCTTTTTAGAATATAATGTACCATCTTGGTGAGGGAGGAAATCAACTTAAGAAATTAGTCTCAAGAACTTGCACTTATGATTTCTGAAGTTTGGAAGGGACTGTTCTGAAAGGATTGTTCAGAATTCCTGTTAAAGACTGAAAAATAAAAGATTATACCAGCTTCTGTGAACACTGCAGAGTAGTAATATGAGACTGCTCAGAAGTTAGAGGAGGAGAGATGCGGACTGCTGGCTTAGTTATAGAACATCAATATGACCCCCCTCCTCAGGTAATTTAAAATTCCCCAGGTTTCAGTTAAAACTCAGAATGCAGATGCCAAGCTAATAGAAACCTAGAGTTCCCAAATTTTCTAGCGCCGTGTGTGCTTGAGCACAGGAACAGTAATCCTTTCTTTATTCTCCAAATGAGAATCATCGGAGTCTGAAGACAAGCCGTCCACTCTTCCCCATTATTTCACAAACCACTGGGAAGTTCTGAAATTCTTCTAGATGTTGGACTCTTCAAAACCACTGCTCTGGCCCTAGCCGGTTTGGCTCAGTAGTTAGAGTGTCAACCTGAGGACCAAAGGGTCCCGGGTTCAATTCCAGCCAAGGGCACGTACCTCGGTTGCAGGCTTGGCCCTGGGGGGGACACAAACGGGAGGCAACCATTCCATGTGTCTCTCTCACATCGATGTTTCTTTTTTTTTCTCTCTCTCTCCCTTCCACTCTCTCTGAAAAAGCAAAGGAAAAAAATATATCCTTAGGTGAGGATTAAAAAAAACACACACAAAACACTGCTCTGTGTGCAAGTGGGATAGGGAGTCCACTCTTATATGTCCCAAGCATGAATTTGGGCTTTTAATTCCTTGTAGAGACCAGTGTACAGTGGTTATTATAACTTAAGTAAAGATAAAGTAACTGAGGAGAATCAAACAGAACAGGAAACTTTCAAATCAGGTATCAGATGTCACTGCTCCTATAATTCATGGTCATACACTCTTTGTATAGCAGCTTTATTGAGATATAATTCATATCTACTTTAAAATTCATCCTGGTTAAGCATTACCATCTAGTGGTTTTTTTGTATATTCAGAGAGATGCAATCATCACCACTAATCGTATACTTTCTGGAGGTTGTCCTCCTTCCCCCTTCTCCCTGGTTTGTCACCTTGCCGCAGGGGCCTGCTCCCTTTTAGGTCAGAGTACTCTAATGTCCTTCTAGGACTCTCAATTTTTGGTCCAGCCATCAACCTTCCCAGCCTTTCTATCAGAGGAAGTCTTTTTTTTTTCTTTCTTTTTTTATGGTTCAGAACAGTTTAGATCCCATTATCTCAACCTCTCTTTAAGACCAGGCTGTAGACCGTTTGCATAAATAAAACTCAAAGGGATGTTCTCTATTTTTAAGTCCCCTTTTTAGGCTCTGGAAGTGGCAGTAGGCAGTATTAAACTGTATTTCTTTTGGTCCCAACATAATAGATCTAGTGCCATAATAGATCCTGAATTTCATCATAGCATTTCTCTGTGTCAGGTTTCATCTTCCCTTTAAATCAGCTCATCCTTGAATGTTTACTTTTAATAGCTGCCATTTTCCCAGTTACTTGAAAGCTTAGCAATTTATCCCCTTATACCTGCAATTCTGCCATCCAAATGGTTGTAATTCAAGTTCCTTTCACCTCCTTCATGTCTCTGCAGCTGCTCTCTTTCCATTCCCAGCACTGTTACCCCAGATTAGATCCTCATTTTTTGCATTCTTTTAACTTCTTGTTTCTTCATTCTGTTTTACACTCTGCTTTCAAATAGTTTCTTTTTGTGCCGTTCCAAATAGTATTTATGTAGTACTTCAGATTCCTCAGAAACTTCTCATTGCCTACTGAATTAAAAACACATTTCTACCCTGACATTCAAGGCCTTCAAAGTGGCTGCAGCCTGCCTTTTTGCCTGTACTTGTCTAGTTTAACCCTAGCTTCCAACCAAACCGGTCTGTTCACCAACATTTTGCAAAATGCTTTGCAGCTTTCTAGCATTGAGCCTCCACTTCTCAGGCCCCTGCCTCTGCGTGGGATGCCCTCCAGGCTGTGCCCTCTCTGTAACCTGTCCACTGGTCAGGACCCGTCTCAGACACTATGTCCTCAGTGCCTTCTTTCCGTACTCCCATCCTCTGCCAGTCAGTCACGTGCATGTTCTGTCTCCCTTGAACTCCCACAGCACTTTCTCTTTTTTAACAGTATTTGTTTTATTTGGGTACTGTCTAATCTGCTCTACTTGAATGTAATCTCTTTGAGAAGGTGTCTTGTACTTTAGTTTCCCTGGAACACTGTCCACAATGCCATTTATATAGTAGTAATGGTTGTAGTAATAACAACTACAATAACAAAAATGACATCTGACATTTATTGAGCACTTACTATTTGCTAGGCACTATTCTAATAAATTTTTATGAGTTAACATATTTAATCCTTATACCCTTTAAAGGAGATACTACCTCCATATTGCAGATGGAGATACAGGCAAAGAGACCTTAAGTAGTTAGAAAGTAGCAGAATTGGGATTTGAATCCCCAAGGTCTAATGACTTATGATCCCATACATATTCTTAACCTTAATCTATGCTACCTTCTAGTAGGTACTCTGTAAATAATGAATTATACAGGAATGATATTTTCTCTGGTTTGAATACAAACACAGCAATTAGAAATAGTATAGAACAGCATTGTTATCCAAGCCCCTGAATGGCAGGTATTTAAATTTATGCAGTGCTTCATCTGACTGTATTTAGTAGTGAATGTATAAATCACATGAATGCAGATCGAAGTACTTCTAGAAGAATGTCTTAAATGACAAACATTCCCTCATAAAGCGACTCGTAGATGGGTTAAGGAATTTTGATAAAAGTTTCCCAATAGATGGGTTAAGGACTGCTTCAAATAACAAGCAGGTGGAATTCTTTAAGCTCTTTCATGAGGATATCTTGAAAAAAATTAATTATCTTAAATGCTTTAAGTATTATTTTATGGAAGTAAATTGTCCTTTTTCCCCCCTTTTTTAAAAAAGCAAAGCCTGTGGTTAGCACCACTCCAGTGCGGATGTCAGTTCCACTTACACAGACTGTCAAACAAGTGAGTATCACAAAATCTCTTATCTCAGTCTCTCCCAAACAATTATTTTTAAAATTGAAAGTGAAGATTTTTTTTTTTTTAATTAAACTCTGGCCAGTTTTACTAAAAAAAAAATTTTTGCCTGATTTACTTTTTACCAGTTTGTTCTGGCATGCTCCTGATGATATCAGAATCAGCAACAGCAGTGTGCATACTCTGTAGTCTTTCCCACACGCTGTGCCCAATTCAATGTCATTGCCGCTGTAGTGATGGAAATTCAGTGTTGGCCAACATGGCTTAGTGCTGTATTTCAGATTTCCTCAAGACAGGACAGTTGCTGGCGAGGGTGACCAGTGTTGCTTTGCCTTGTCTGATCATTTTCAGAGTCTCCTTGTACCCCAGCATGTACATTCCACTTTTCACAACAAGTTGGAGCCTAAAGTTGACTGACTCCAACTTTTTCATCTTCTTTGTGGCCAATGTCTTCCTGCCTTAGCCACAGGCGAAAGTTAAGATTTATATACAAGGGATGTATACTGAATTGAGAAGCTGTAAAATTTATTTTTGTAATTATTGATATGCCTTTTTTTTTCAGGTTGTTCCAAAACCAATCAACCCAGCTTCACAAATTGTTACTACTAGCCAGCCACAGCAACGGCTCATCATGCCTGCCACCCCACTGCCACAGATCCAGCCAAACCTCACTAACCTGCCGCCGGGCACGGTGCTGGCACCTGCTCCAGGGACAGGGAATGTGGGTTATGCAGTGCTTCCAGCTCAGTACGTCACTCAGGTATGAGGCAAAAATGAAGTCATTGCATTTCCAAAAGGATAATTGGGTCTGAAATGTCTAGTGTTGTCACATTCTGAAAATGACTCAGAACCATCTAACTCAATATTAAAATGGCTTTGTCCAGAAATGTTAATGAAAACTTCTTTTTCAAGAAATGTTAATGAAAACTTCTGAGTTTATTTTTATGTATCTTTAGCGTTGAGAAATATATAGCACAAGTCAAATATACAAGTCAGACAGTTTGGAGCTGAGAGCATGTTTGTGAGAGGGCAAAATCATATAGATATAAGAGAAAATAAGTTGATGTTATAATTATCAGAGTTCAAATGGATTCAGAAAGGACTGTGACCCTAATAAAGCTCTTCCTCACCTATGAATATAATGCCACTGACTTGTTCTTGGAAAATAGACGTGAGATGGATTTCCAGGTGACATACCTTGAGTGATCTGTCCAGACTCGTTTGGTCATCTTTAGATCAAAGCCACAAATTATCCAGTTGGCTGGCTTGGAGTAGGAGTGTTGCTTCTAGGAAGCAGAAGTTTTCTTTTTCATGTAAGAGTCAAGCAAATTAGCACCATGTTCTAAGCTGTTGAATTGATTCATTCAGCTTGTAAGAGGAGAAACAGAAACCTATCTGTACTTTAATGAAATTTACTTTGGAGTATGGTATGTGGCTACTGATTTTAAAAAATTAATGTTCAGTGTTTTTATCATTAGCATCTCTTTTCTTATGTTTAGAAATCAGTGTAAAGTTGAAACTTAATTATTGTGCATGTAACTTCTCATTTTCTATAACTTGCTGTGTGATGAATGATCAGTATATTAAGTTTTATTTACAAGTAGCTACATTGCATTTTTCTAGCCAATACACATTATTACAGTACTTTTAAGGCACTTATTTAGAATTTTCTAATTATAATAACATACTCCTCTATGAAAAAATATATTATATTTGTACCATGTTGTACTTTAAACTGTTCACATTGTTTTCACCTCTGATACTAGTTTGGATCTTTAGAAAAGCTGCCTTGTAAGGTAGTATGTTTGCATGAAATTTTCCATTCTATTTTTCCTATTTTAGTAGATGAATTTGTGCTTCTTACTGATCATTATATCTGAGAATATTGTCCATTTTTGTAAATATGGTCTAAAATTATCTTTCTTTACATGTAGCTACAGCAGTCTTCATATGTGTCTATAGCAAGCAACTCTAACTTTACTGGTACACCAGGTGTCCAGACCCAGGCAAGGCTTCCATTCAATGGGTGAGTATTTGGAAAATATGTAAGTTAAGTTGTTAGATCAGGTTATATGCAGCATCAAATATATATATTTCAAAATACATTTATTTGATTTCCCCCCCCCTCAAAGCTATGTGAGCATGTCTCTACAGTACTTTTTGTTTTGAAATACTTTAAACAGAAAAGTTACAGGAGTAATCAAAGGAACTGCCATATATCTTATTTGAGGGCCACTCCTTGAGATGCCTGTTCTGTCATAGCCAATGCTGTATCAGTGCCAACCCAGGGGTGCCCCCCCCAAGGGGCCCTCTACCTTCCCCAGCATTCCCACACATTGTCTTGCCACCAAGTGTGAATAATGGTATTTCTGACAACCTGGAGAGTCTCTTCTCCACTTCAAGCCAAGCTTCCTGCTCAGGGTGAGTTTCCAGCTGAGTCTGGAGGCCTCCTGAGTTTTCCCAGACATGGTGTGGTGGTGGTGAGTAGAGTCTAGGTGAGATGTAGGTGGACTTTTTAAAAGCCATGTATTTATTTTCATGTATTAAATATATCAGTAGCTCATTAGAAGAAAAAGTCCCAACTTTCTTTTTCTTGGATTCACTATTTTTTCCCACATGCTTTATTATTCTCTGTCTCCCCTTTCTTTCCCTCTTCTCTCCCTTTCCTTGTCATATTAGGTCCTTGCTTTTCTTTTGGTTTGTTTGTCTGTTTTTTGATCTGTTGTTGCCTTTACAGTTTGGATGGAACCAGTCTACCTCTCCCTCCCCTCCCAAATTCCAGCCCCACACACCCTTTTCTACTCACTACCTTTTATAATTAAGTCTGAAAAGTTTTGAGGAGATTTCAAAACTTCAGTTCTCTGAAGGGAGAGTATTTTTTTTGGTGGAAGTTTCTGTAGAAGTTATTGATAACATCCTTTTTTTAAAAAAAGACTTTTTATAGATTTTTAGAGCGAGAGGATGGGAGAGGGAGAGAGAGAAACATTGATGTGAGAGTGCAAACCCCCTACTAGGATCGAGCCAGCAAGCTTTTGGTGCATGAGGAGGGTGCCCAACCGATTGCATCACACTGGCCAGGACTAATAACATCCTTTTTTCCTTCCTCATATCTTGACTCTGCCTCTCTTTTCATGTTACAACTTGCTTTTGAACTTAATGTAAATAGAATAACATAGCAAACTTTTATTAGAGATGATACATTTGTTAAAGCCTTGTCTTAAGAATTTACAGGTTGGAGACTTTTCTAATTTTGATAACTTTTAATTGACTAAAATGTGTATCTTTTTTGTGTGTCTGTATAGCATAATCCCATCAGAGTCTGCCAGTCGGCCCCGAAAGCCCTGTAATTGTACAAAATCGCTGTGTTTGAAATTGTAAGTTTTTTTGCTACTGTTCCCTCATTTGATATACGTGAAAGTGCTTTTAAAAATAAATGGAATTAACTAAAATTTCTTAACAGACCAATTCCATAAGTCTAAGTATTTAACCAAACATACAAGTGTGAATGTTTGAGAACATGACAGTGTGCAAATACTGTTTTATTTCATTCAGAAAGAAATAATTGCAGAATCTTTACCATAGATGAGGCACAGGTTAGGGACACAGCAGCACGACACAGACATAGTCTCTGTCCTTAATAATAATAAATTTGATCTTACTTATTACCTTTATCATTTGGTCTCCTGAATGAGGTGATACTCTGAGTAGTTTTAAAATTATTGGCTGATTGATTTGCTTATTAGTACTGAACTAAGAGATTTGACATGAAACAAATGAAAAGCATTGGTTGTGTGGGAGTTTAGAATTCAAAGAAGCATAGCAGTAGTTCAGGTGAGTAGGTTCCACTAATAGAATATAGCCCGTATTTCTCCTTTTTCATGTTTTTGAAATAACTTACTTTGGGGGCACATAAAATCTTGTAGCTCTTGTGTTGGAAGCTGTTGCTACTAGAAATAAGTTACTAAATTCTAGGAGCCATTGACTTTAATTTTGAGCTTTATCATGTGGTTGACAACATATGTTAACTCTAACTAGGTGGCTCTGAGTACATTTCTAAAGTGCTTTACCACATATATAATGCTATTAAATCAGATAATTTATAGTTTTGCTTGTTTTAACAATGACTTTTTTGATATAACTTATACCAATTTTTATATTCCAGATATTGCGATTGCTTTGCAAATGGTGAATTTTGCAACAACTGCAATTGTACTAATTGTTATAATAATTTGGAACATGAAAATGAAAGGCAAAAAGCAATAAAGGTGATTATTTTTTTATTTCATTTAACAGACAAAATATTCCGTTTTGACCTCTTTTATATAGAACTCTTTATTTTACAAAGAAAATTAATCCCCTTTGCAGTACTTAAATTTAATGTCCTGTTGTTTAAGTTCACTTGGTATTTGCTCTGTTTTGGTAGGCATGCCTTGACAGAAATCCAGAAGCTTTTAAGCCTAAAATAGGGAAAGGAAAGGAGGGAGAATCAGATCGACGTCACAGCAAAGGATGTAATTGCAAACGATCAGGATGTCTTAAAAACTACTGTGAATGCTATGAGGTGAGATGCTAGCTATGGAAAATAATCTAACCATCTTTTCAAAATTACTTTAGAAAGGGCATACTATAAAAATTTACTTGAAAATTGGGAGATTGCTTTGCTATTGCAGTTTGAAAATATGCATAGTCAACCAAAGGGCCTCGTTCAAGGAAGACCTTCTGGCCTCCCGACCAAGGCTCAGCAAGCAATAGAGGTCTGTGTCTCTCTCTCTCTCTCTCTCTGTCTGTCTGTCTTCTTTAATCCTCACCCAAGGATATGTTTATTGATTTTTTTAGAGAGAGGGAGAAACATCGATGTGAGAAAGAAACATCAATTGGTTGCCTCCCGTTCATACCCTGACTGGGGATTGAATCCCCAGCCTAGGTATGTGCCCTGACTGGGAATTAATCCCGAAACCTTTTGGTGCATGGGATCATGCTCCAATCAACTGAGCCATCTGGCCAGAGCTGTAATTGGTTTCTTGGTGCACCTGAAACTCTTTACTGAGAATCTTTGGGGTTGAGTCATACCTACAGTTGGCTCTTCTCATCTGGTATATATCCATTCTTTCAAATTTCATATTCAGAGGGAGATTTTATTTTTAGTTTTGTTTTTTTTTAATTTATTGTTGAAAGTATTACAGATGTCCTCTTTCCCCTCCCATTGACCCCTTCTACCCTGCACCCATCCCCCCACCACCCTAGGCCTTCACCACACTATTGTGTGTGTCCATGGTATTTTTAGTACTGGCAGAAGGCCTAGCCTTGCACTTGGTAAGGTAATACCACCAAGGACTGCACTCTCCCCTGGTAAGGTTTGCTCTGCTCCAGAAGCATGCACCTACAGTTCAGGACCCTTTCCATATAAAATATGTCAGAGTCAAGATTGGTGTACTGCCCTGGCTGGTGTTGCTCAGTTGGTTGAACATCTTTCCATGCACCCAAAGGTCACTGGTTTGATTCCCAGTCAGGGCACATGCCTGGGTTTCAGGCTTGATCCCCAGTAGGGGGCGTGCAGGAGGCAGCTGATGGGATATTTGTCTCTTCTCCTCCCTCCCTTTTTCTCTAAAAATCAATAAAAACACTTAAAAAAAAAAAAGGTTTGTGTACTGAATTCTTCATTTATGTACTGTATAAGTCAAATACTCCACTCAGCAAGTATAGTAAAAGTAACATCTTGTTAGTCCTAAAGCCAGTATGAGTGAAAATTACATATAATCAAGATTATTTTGGAAAGTTTCCTAAATAAGGTCTCAGAGTCCAACAAGCCAGTTTTTTCCCAATATTCGAAGAGATTGACTTTTTTTTTAAAATTTATGTTTATTGTTGAAAGTGTTACAGTTGTCCCATTTTTTACCCCAATGGCCCCCTTCACCTCGCTCCCACCCTTCCCCAGGCCTTCCCTCCATTATTGTCTGTGTCCATGGGTTATGCATATATGCACATAACTTCTTTGGTTAATCTCTTCCCACCCTCTATCCCTCTTCCCTCTGAGATACAACTATCTGTTACATGCTTCATTGTCTCTGGGTCTGTTTTGTTTGTCAGGTTCTTTTGTTCATTAGCTTCTTTTTAAAGAAGACCCTTCAACATTTCATGTAATACTGGTTTGATGGTGATGAACTCCTTTACCTTTTTCTTATCTGTGAAGCTCTTTATCTGACCTTCAATTCTAAATGTTAGCTTTGCTGGGTAGAGTCACTTGGTTGTAGATTCTTGCTTTTCATCACTCTGAATATTTCTTGCCACTCCCTTCTGGCCTGCAAGGTTTCTGTTGAGAAATCAGCTGACAGTCATATGGGTGCTCCCTTGTAGGTAACTAACTGCTTTTCTCTTGCTGCTTTTAAGATTCTCTCTTTGTCTTTAACCTTTGGCATTTTAATTATGATGTGTCTTGCTGTGGGCCTCTTTGGGTTCCTCTTGTTTGGACTCTCTGTGCTTCCTGGACTTGTAAGTCGATTTCTTTCCCCAGGTAGGGGAAGTTTTCTGTCATTTTTTCAAATAGGTTTTCAATTTCTTGCTCTCTTTCTTCTCCTTCTGGTTCCCAATAATGTGAATATTGGGCCACTTGAAGTTGTCCCAGAGGCTCCCTATACTACATATTTCTAGATTCTTTTTCTTTTTGCTCTCCTGGTTGAGTGTTTTTTGTTTCCTCATATTCCAAATTGCTGATTTGATTCTCAGCGTCCTCTGCTCTCCTGTTGATTCCCTGTAAATTATTCTTCATTTCAGTTTGTGTAGGCTTCATTTCTGACTGATAATTTATTATGTCACTGATGATCTTACTGGTTTCTTTAATAGCCTTACTAAGATCCTTCAGCATCCTTATAACTATTATTTTGAACTCTGTGTCTAGTAGCTTGCTTGGCTCCATTTCATTTACTTCCTTTTCTGGAGATTTCTTCTGTTCTTTCCTTTGAAACATGTTTGTTTGCCTCTGCATTTTGGCTGCTTCCTGATGTTTATTTCTATGTATTAGGAAGAGCTGCTATGTCTCCTGGAATTTGTAGAGTGGCTTTTTGTAGTAGGTGTCCTGTAGGGTCCAGTGGCTCAGCCTCCCCAGTCACCTGAGCTGGGCCTTCTAGGTGTTCCCCTATGTGGGCTGTGTGCACTGTCCTGTTGTAGTTGAGCCTTGGTTGTTATTGGTGTCACTGGGAGGAATTAACCCCCAAACCAACTGGCTGTGAGAACCAACTGCAGCTACAGCCAAAGAACTGCTGTGCTGAAGACACCCCGATGGAGCAGGATTTACTTCATTGGAGCTTTGGTGTTCATTGAGTCCGCCCCTTGATTGTGTCACTCGTGGACATGGTAGGATTGTAATCCAGCGTGGTTGAAGCTGACCACCAGGTGCACTGTCTTTGGGGCCTTCCTGGAGATGCAGAGTCAGCCTGTGCCAGTGCCTTGCCCAGGGCCACCCATCCTGAGCTACACAGCAAACTGTAGTTGGCTGCTACTTATGCTGGGCTTGGAGGTGCCCAGGAGAGGCCAAGATATGAGCCAATGCAGGCTGCCGCTAGTGTCAGGCCTGGGGCCACTTATCAAGCTGTATGGGGCACGCTGCTGCTTGTTTGAGAGATTTTAGGAAAGTCCTAAGCCTGAGGCAAGAGAGGCCACTTGCATAGAAAAGACACTGGATATGGTTTGGATGAGCTTGCAAGTAGGGAGGGGCGGGGTCTCTGGGAATAACCAGGGTGGGGCAAAAGGTGTGAGTCAGGTTGATGTAGATTCAGAGAAGGCGCCTGCCTGAGGGCTCTGTGGAAGAAGGGCTTGTCAGAGGAGCAATAGCTTCTGCAGCTCTTCTGTTGGGAAAAAACTGCCGTGCCAGCTCTCACCCTGATTCCAGACAAGTTAGTTCCTCCCCGAATGTCCTAGGTTCCTTTCAAGCTACTGCCCAGCGCTGAAGCTCAGAGGGAGGAGTGAGTCTGAGTAAGTCCGTGCTTGGGCCCTTTAAGAGGAGCTGCTTAGGACTCCAGCAGCCTCTGCTCACTCAGCCACAATCCCTGCTGGTTTTTACAGCCCGAAGTTGTGGGGACTTCTCTTCCGGCACCTGAACCCTGGCCTGGGGGACCTGTCGTGGGGCTGGGACCCCTCGCTCCTTCTGTAAACTCGTTGCTGCCAGGTACCACTCCTGGCTTTAAACTGTGGCACCGCATGTGGGACCATAGCTGTGTCTCCAAGATTCAGCCCAGATTCCACCTGTGTCTCCACCCCTCCTACCAGTCTCCATGTGCATCTTCAGTTCTTTTGTTTTAGGACTTTTGTTCAGCTAGATTTCAGGAAGTTCTGAATGATGGTGGTTCTGTATTTTAGTTGTAATTTCAATGTGGTTGTGGGAGGCTGCAGGTACCGCTGTCACCTACGCCGCCATCTTGTTTTCTGTCTGACTTTTTTGTAACACCTGACCAAATAGGTGGCTTTTATTAGTAAACCATATCACATAAAAATTGTCATGAATATGTAAAAAAGTAAGCCATAAAATTAAGTCCACAAAAAGAGAGAAAATGGAAATTGATGTAAAGCTGGGTCAGAAGGATAAAGAAACCCTTTCATACGTGTAGCAGTGAACAATCAATACATGCTGTTCAAACATATGTGAACTAATAATTTAATTGAACTGGTTAACAAATCTGTTAATCAGTAAAAGTAGAAAAGCCAGTAGACTGGTTAAAATATATTAGAAGAGAGTAAGCTGGCCTATCATAATCAAATCCTTGACATTCAGGACATATGCAATGTCCAATTAATTTGTCGTTCTAAGCAATTAAGAAGTAGAAAAACTTGGACTACATTAAACTATGAGTAGCAGTAGCTAATTGATTGACTGAATTAGCTTTGATGTTACCTGACAGTTTGTGTTGAATTGTTGGTCTTTTGAACTGAATTGACTTTTTTGGTGCAGTTGGTCTGCACCTAGATAACATTTATGTTCCTTTCACAGCTTGTTAATTGAATGAGTTGACTGTTCACATTTTTAAAGGGTTGTGCATTTTCTTGACCTTTTTCCTCCACCCTCCTTTTTTTTACACCATAAAATAAGTTGAATTAGCAAAGCCAAATGGATGCCTTATCATTCTATTTTCTCCCTTCTGAGTTCCTGTTAAATATTAGTACCTTTCTTGTGGTTCTTAAAATGTAATACAGCCCAGCCAGCATGGCTCAGCGGTTCAGCATTAACCTATAATCCAGGAGATCATGGTTTGATTCCTGGTCAGGGCACACGCCTGGGTTGCAGGCTTGATCCCCAGTAGGGGGCGTGCAGGAGGCAGCCCATCAATGACTCACCATTGATGTTTCTCTCTCTCTCCCTCCCTCTCTCTAAAATCAATAGACATATTTTTTTTAAATTTTAATTTCAGACCATCCTTTGTGTTTACTTTAGGTCTCTCGAGTTTGCAAGGTCACTGTGCAGGCCTTCCCTGAGCTTGACAAGTAGCATGTGGCCTCTTTTCAGCCCACATATCTTATAGAAGTAAAAACATTATATGTACAAAAAATCTTTCTTTGCATTGTTTGTGGCACCCAGGAACTGGAAACTAATGCCCATCAATAGGGGAGTGAGTGCTCAAATAAAATGTGGCCCATTGCCCTTGCCAGTTTTGCTCAGTGGTTAGAGCGTTGGCCTGTGGACTGAAGGGTCCCAGGTTCGATTCCGGCCAAGGGCACGTACTTTGGTTGCAGGCTCCATCTCCGGCCCCAGTCGTGGAGAGTGTAGGAGGCAACCAATTGATCTCTCTCTCTCTTTTCCCTCTTCCCCTTCTACTCTCTCTGAAAAGGAATGGAAAAAATATTCTTGGGTGAGAATTAAAAAAAAAAATGTGGCCCATCAATACTAGGGATTAATACCCAGCCATTAAATAGAATGAATTCGGTGTAGGCCAGATGACTTGGAAGGAGGGATTCCTTGAGGTAGAATGTGGGAAAAGAAAGAAGCAGAAAAGTGGGAATATGATTTTGTAATACAAACTGAAAAAATGAAAGACTTGTATATGTGAGTTAATATGTTGAGATCTGTGTTTTTCATAAGTATACATATATTCTGCATATTTTTTTCATGAAAGGACATACTAATTTAATATGGCCTATTGAAGGGTTTGAGGAATCTGGAGAGGGGATTCAGGGAGGGAGATACTCATAAGAAAAACAGCATCTGTTAAATCCTTTTCATGTGATAGTGTGTGTTTGCATCACTACATGTTGGTGGGAGGTCACCAACATGTTAATGATGACTTGACTGAGGTGGTTTCATTCTGGATGACCCCTGTATTTTAATATTGTAATGTATTGTATCCTTCATATTCTTTATAAAGAACATGTTTTTCCTACCAGGAGGAAAATCTTTAGTGGGGGGGAAATGACATGGAAGGTCTCAAACACAAACATTGCATAGCCACTCCCAGACTTAAGAATATCTACCTATCCCCATGGAGTTAGCCCACTAGTGTTTGTCTGCAAGAGATGTTTCTATTTTATGTCATTTGACCAGTTAATTCTTTTATCTGTTGATTATCTATAGTAAGTTGTTTTGGTTTTGATTTGGAAGCTTTTCTTTTGTAAATCTTTTAGGCAAAAATAATGTGTTCCTCAATATGCAAATGTATTGGCTGTAAGAATTTTGAAGAAAGCCCAGAAAGGAAGACATTGATGCACTTGGCAGATGCAGCTGAAGTAAGGGTACAGCAGCAGACCGCGGCGAAGACTAAGTTATCCTCTCAGATTTCGGACTTGCTTACTAGACCAACACCAGCGTTGAACAGCGGAGGAGGAAAGTAAGTCAGCAGTTTCATCTCTATAGTTTCGCATGAATATTCCTTTTGGGTAAAGTTTCTCCTTTGAACAAAATTGAGTTCATTCTTGGTTGTTGCAAATCTGATTTTTGCACTTTCTATCTTTAATTACTTGTAAAGGACTTTAAAGGCAACAGAAAAACCACTGTTAGACACATTGCACAGTTCTAAAATGCACAGTGCTTTAGTTCACTCTGCTTTAATTTCATTGGCTTTCTCCCTACTAAGATGAGCAATTATGTCATTTGACAAACCTCTAAGAAAACTCAGTTTCTCATATCTCTTATTGGCTGTGTCATTATCCATATTTTTGCACTTTCTTACTCTCAATGTAGGAAATGTCCAGACCTGTAAGATGTTATGAGTTTATTTGAGCCAAACCGAGCGGACAGTTGCGGGGAAGCAAAATCTCAACGGATTGAGAAAATGCTCCAGAGATTGGTAGTTTTGCACCTTATTTTATGCACAACAATCTAAGGATGTTATGAAATTCATTGGTGCTAGATTAGGGAGATGGGAGAAAGCAAAGCCAGGAGATCTCTGGGATTAGATAAAGTAAAACAAACAGACACATAGTATTTCTTTTACAAAGGTGGGTATAGGATAGTTAACAGTTAACAATTAACATGATAATAACAATGTGGGGCTCTGTGATCTGCTCTGGTGAGAGATTGTGCCCTTAGGGGTTTGGAAAAAGAAAATTACCTTGGCATTCTAAAGGTTATCATAGATGCAAAAAGACTATGGACTGGCTCGGTTAAGGTAAAGATTGACCTTTATCAAGAAAGATACTGGCCTAGGACAGGAATACCCAACATGACTTGCTTTTAGTTAGAAAGTTTTAAGTTCAAATCATCCTATGTTACTTTAGGTCTCTGAGTTTGTAAGGCCGCCACGCAGGCCTCCCGAGCGTGTCAGGTTTAGTATGTGGCCCCTTTTTGTCCACATTACCTTCTCTTGCCTTTTCCCTGCCTCTTAGCACCAAACACCATATTATTGTAGCTCCTTATTTCACTAGACTGCTGAGCTCTGGAGTAGAAAAGCTGGAGCTTCATTTAAAGTAAGGTGACCTGAGTTTAAATACTATCTGCACTTTGTAGTAGTTTATGAATTCAACAAGAACTTCATCTCTGAGCCTGTTTTTTTAGCCTTCAAGCCACCCTTACCATGGACTGTGAGGGGAAAAGCATCTCTGTTGTAGTGCTTGGCAGGGCCTGATTCAACAAGTTTACTGACTTGGATTTATATTAAAGAGTTTGTTAGAGGTTAATTTGAGGAATTACTAAATGGAATGAGCTGTGCAAATGGCATATCATTTAAAGTGTCTAAGTTGAAATAAAATCCAATACCGTATAAAAGTAAGTCTTTTCTACAAAATATTACAAATATTAGTTTTAAAGAACTCTTACAACTGTAATATAATCAGCAAATGGTTCTTGACTGAATAAAGTGGAAATGGGTCGACACCTTAATAAGGGATCCTTTCTGGTCATCTGCTTTTAATAATCCTTTAGAACATTAAATCTAATCTGCATATTGCCACACTCAAACACTTACAATTAACTTTCCAGTTCATCTTCATGGGGAAATGTTTACATTATGAAGTGTAAACAAATATAAAATTATACACTATAATCAAAACTATTAAAACTTTTATACCAGCATGTAGCATTTGTCTTTGAGCAGCAGAAGTTTGAAGTTTTCTTTCCTTTTACTTTTCTAGTTTCCAGATGTGATATAAGAGCACTGCTGTTACACAGTACTACTAATTATACAGTATTGTAATATTAACACGATTGTAATATTTTAACATTTTCTAATTTTAAGTATTTTTTGTATCTTAAAGATTTCTATACAGCTGTATAGTAGGCTGAATCCTGAAGTGCCCTTTCTTGTTATAGAGGGCTTTAATTAAAGGCTTCATTGTTTTGTTTTGCAGTTTCCTTCAGTCAGTGACTGCTTGCAAGTTGCTGAGTTAGTGGTTAGATTTAGGTTTCCCGGTACTAAAAGCCTTCTGCAGGCTTTTAACACTTGGCTACATATAGCAAGCCTCAGGATGGGTTGTTCTCAGTACTCAGTAGTTTGGGTCTTTACAAATGAGCCTCCATATACAGGCAACATTTGGTTTCCCCTTGTTTTGTTTGTTGTGAGAACGGTGCGAAATTTTGATGTGCTTAATTTTTTTCTTCTTTTACAAATATATGGCAATATGGGAAAGTACTTTATTATTTTTTTAAATATATCTTTATTGATTTCAGAGAGAGGAAAGGAGGGGAGGGAAAGAGATAGAAACATCAATGATGAGAGAGTCATTGATCAAGCCCACAACCCGGGCATGTGCCCTGACCGGGAATTGAACCCCGATCGCCTGGATCCTAGGTCGATGCTCAACCGCTGAGCCACGCCCAGCCGGGCGGAAAGTACTATATTTTTAGTGTTGTTTAGGAGACAGTGCTTTAGATTCCCAATACTTCATTTCTTCAGTCAGCAAATACTCTTGGGGTGTCTGTGTGTCAGGCACTGTTCCAGACAGTGAAGAAACAACAGGAAAGAGAGCAGAGACTGTACTTGTGGACCTTACGCTCATGAACGCGGAGGACATTTGTTATAGAAGTAGCAAGTCAGCATGTAGAATTACATCTCTTAGTTAACTAGATAACTTTGTCTAGGTTAGTTAACTAGAAAACTTTGACGTATTTTATGTAAAATGTTATATTTTCTGAACAAGATTTTAAAAATATGCTCAATCATAAAACCAGGCCTAGCTGTTGAAAGCTCTGCAGGATGTGCTGTGCTCGCTGCATAAACTGTGACGCTGAGTGTGCCAGTGCATCATGAAAATGTCAGCAGATTTCCAAATGAAACCGTGCCGCCGACTTCTGTAGTTATTCAGCACCATCGTCACTCTCTCTCTTTTTCTCTCTAAAATCATTTCAGGTTACCATTTACATTTGTAACTAAGGAAGTAGCTGAAGCCACGTGTAATTGCCTTCTTGCCCAGGCTGAGCAGGCAGACAAGAAGGGAAAATCAAAGGCGGCAGCTGAACGGATGATACTTGAGGAATTCGGACGATGCTTGATGAGCGTCATCAACTCTGCAGGAAAAGCAAAAAGTGACCCTTGTGCTATGAATTGTTAACTCTTGCACAAAAGACTGATAAATGGAACTGTACAGAAATTTGAAAGTGCAGGGACACTTGATTTTCTGGAAGATAGTTTAACAATTACTGTATTGTTAATTAAATCCTTGTGAGACCTGAAATTATAATATTGAGAGAGAAGAAATTTTAAATGAGGAAATTAGTACGTTTTAAATCTGCTTATACCCCTTCTAAATTGAACTTTTCTTTATTGTATTATATAGATTTTTAATTTGCTTGTGTTTCTTAAGAATTAGATGTTCTATCCTCTGACTCTATTGACAAAGAACATTTATAAATTATAATTTATAATGTATGGCGTTGTATGACTTTGTTCAGTAGAAAAAGCCAAAGCAGCATTGGTGTTACCCATTCTCTGGTACTAGACCTAGAATATAAGCAGATAGAACGTCTACATAAACAAATTCTTATGAAACATATTCCAATGTCATTGTGTTTAGAAAAGCACTAAATTTAAAGAAAAATTGACTTTTTAAGGTGGATTCTGGAAGAATATCCTATTGTCACTTTGGGAATGTCCGAAGGGGAAGTAATCCATAGGCACACTTTCAAAATAAAAGTTATTTTGTTGTTTTGGAAAACCATATAAAACATTTAAGGGATAGTAAATTAATTCTCAAAGGATGGGCAGTGTGTTTTTATAACAAGAAGTGACTAAGAAATGCTCTGGGATGTTTTCATTTTCTTTCAAGGAGGTAGTATGTATTTGAAATAATAAATTGTCAAGGTGATTACTGGGTACTATTAAAATGAAAGGTTCCTATAAATAGAAGCTAAACATATTAGGTAGTGGTAAAATAGAACCTTATATAATAATCAGGTATAAAAGTTGATTTGGGTGGAGAAATAAAGTATATTGAAGCTCTAAGAGATTAACATAGGGAAGGATTTTTCATTTATATAAACAATTTTCTTTATAGACTTTTGAACTAAGAGGTTTCAAACCAATGTATGAGTTATTTGATTTACTGAAATGGGCCTTCTGAAAAAGCTTTCAAAATTGTAGTGGGTATTTTTTTAATAAGGGAAGCTTAATATGGCATTATTTTTAGTCAGTGATTTGATAAGCTGAAGGTATGAGTGTTTTCATATAACTACTAAAATAACCGAAGTTGTTTTCAGAAATCCAAAAGCTTTATGAATTTAAGGGCCTGTTATAATAGGCCTCTAGATTTTATGACAAGAAAAAACCATGTTGGAATTCAGGCATTTTCGTAGGAACCTTAATCCTCAATAATTATTAGTATATGATTATTACATTTCCTGCAAGGAATCTATAGTTGTATGTATTAAGTGTGTATATATGTTCATATGAACATGCAAGATAAAGGCAATAGAAATTAAGTAATCCAAAAGATTCTGTTATTCATTAAAGTATCTTCCTATTGAAATTTGGATTTATAAAATTGTAGTGCAGTGAACTTTAAATGTAGATAGTGCAAACATTCTTAGCACCTCTATCTAGTATGTTTAATTAAAATTTGTATAAATGTAAATTAGTGTAAGAGGATAAAGTAATATCTAATCAAGTTATTTTTCAAAAGATTACAATACCTTTTGGGTCTAAACCTAAACTTTGTTCATTTTGTACATATTCTGTGTTTCAATTCTAATTGCACCTTTGTGATGTGTATTTATATAACAGTGTGCAGAAAATGTTTGTGAAATTTGGATTACAATTATAGATTATGTATGATGACGTTGCTTGAGAATGTTTTGCTTGTAAAAATTTATAAAGGTGCAATCAAATGCTACTAGTTTTTCTGATTTTCAAGAAGCTAAAGTATTAAGGCTTTTCCTTTGTGTGTAGTACTTACTAAACAACTTTTTGTATTTAGGCATTTGCATCAAATTGCTGAACAAGATTAATATCCACATTAATTCAACAATTTTAAAAGACTATTTGGGGAGGGTTGGGTATATAATTTTTTAGCTCTATTTACATCCCAAAGTAGAAAGATTAAATTTATATTTACTAGAGCTATTCAAAGAATACACTTTTCTATATTGTAAAAACATGACAGCAAAGTAAATCATACAAAAAATAAACATTTATACTATTCTCTAAAAAAAGATTTTGCACTTTTTCTTTAATAACACTTTTAACCATTTAATATGCAAGAATTCTTTTAAACATATCTGATTTTAGGTAAATTTAACATTACTTTTGAAACCACACAGCTAAAAACTAAACCTATCATTTTGCCCAATTATCATTAACAAATTGCTTTGAAATGAGACATTCTCTTTTTTTCCACCTTTTTTTTTTTAAGGGCAGAAACTCTATCTACTCTTTTCCTTCCTAAGTGATATTCCTATGGTGAACACCTTACAAGAACTAAAAGCAACTTAAAGATCTTGCCTTTGGACTTTATGGGAACCAGAACCTTGTTACAGGTATTAAAACCAGCAGAGCAGCACCTCTGGGAAGACTAATGCTTTAGCCTCCCCATCTTTTGATATGGACAACTGACATTTGCTCAATTCTTATGTAAAATGGGAATAAAAATGCCTTTAGAAAAATCTTCTACTTTACTGTTTTGTAACATAAATAACTAAGAGAATACTTGTTATGTAAATACAGCTTCAAATCAGGACCTCCAGCCCTACCAGCCTTTGATAATATTGCATCCCTTAAGCATTTCATATAGGAATTTTGTTGCAGCAACCCAGAGAGAAGCCAATCACTAGAAAGCCTTCACTATTGTAGTTACTTTCTATTTTTAGGTGGTTTTATGTAAATTACTTAGATCTTTTTTTCTTCTTCTTAGGGCTGCTTTAATGCTCATTTTCTTATTATAGACCAAATGTGAACTTTTTATGAATCCAAGTAGTTTTATTGAGTATAAGTTATAAAGTTTAAAAAACTTTAAAAATTTAGTTTTAAGTAGTTTTATGAAAGCATTTAAGGCATTTTAGTTTTTACTTAAAAGCAATAAAAAAGTATATTCAGGGTAATGTTTATTATAAATAAGGTCAAAGATTTAATGTAACTAATTTATTATATTAGCAAATAAGATCTGGCAATATATAAAAACAATACATCAGGACCAGGATGGGTTTATCCCAGGAATAAAAGGTTGACCCAGCATTAAAAAACAAACAAAAAAACCCCATCCATTTATGATTACAAAAACACAACTTCTGAGTCTGGCCAGTGTGGCTCAGTGGATTGAGCATTGTCCTATGCACCAAGAGGTTGCTGGTTTGATTCCGTCAGGGCACATGCTGGGGTTGCGGGCTTGATCCCCAGTAGGGGATGTGCAGGAGGCCACTGATCAATGTTTCTATTTGTCTCTCTCACCCTTCCTCTCTTATCTAAAAAATTCAAAAACATTTTAAAATGCAACTTTTCAGCAAACGGAATAGTAGGAATCCTAAACCCGATAAAGAGCTTTTAGGAAAAAGCCTACTGGTAACATGAATAATGAAGACAATGTTTTCTCCCTAAGACTGGGGACAAGGCACTCCTATTCAACATCTTGGAGGTCACTGTACAGTAAGGGAGAGAGGGCCACCATAGACTGAAAATGATTAAGACAATATCTGTCTGTGGATGATATGAATACCTATATAGGGAAGTCAAAGGATCTTTTTTTTAAAAAGCTACTAGGACTAATAAGTGAGTTTAACAAGGTCAGTATGCAGTAATGTGTTTGTATATAGTAGCAATCAACATCTAGAAACAAATTTTAGAACGACCATTTATAGCAGCACCACAAAACATGAAATGTAACAAAAATATGTACAAGATCTGTATATGAAATGTAGAAGACACTTTTAAAAATCAAATACCTTACAAAGATACCATGTTCATGGATTGGAACATTCAACATCATTAAATTTCTCCCCAAATTAACCTGTAGATTCAACAAGTTGATTATAAAATTTACATGGAAAGGTAAAACTAGAATAGCCAAGCATTTTTGAAAAAAGAATGAAGTTTGAAGACTCCAGCCTGACTTAAAGACATTAAGGCTCAGCAAGACTGTGGTACTGATGAAAGTTAAACCCATGGATCAATAGAACAGAAAAGAGTCAGAGATATACATCTATATATAGTCAATTTTTGACAAGGGTTCAAAAGTAATTCACTGGAGAGCCTGGCTGGGCGTAGCTCAGTGGTTGAGCTGAGGGCACATGCCCCGGTTGCAGGCTCAATCCCCAGCAGGGGGCATGCAGGAGGCAGTTCAGAAGTGACTCATCATTGATGTTTCTCTTTCCCTCTTCCTCTCTCTGAAATCAATAAAGACGCTTTTTTTTTTTAAAAGTAATTCACTGGAGAAAGAGCAAAAGTAGTCTTTTTTGCCCAGCCGCCATGGCTCAATGGTTGAGCATCAACCTATGAACCAGGTAATGGTTTGATTCCTGGTCAGGGCACAAGCCTGGGTTTCAGGCTTGATCCCCAGTAGGGGGCATGCAGGAGGTAGCTGATCAATGATTCTCACCACTGATGTCTCTCTCCCTCTCCCTCTCTGAAAACAGTAAAAACATTTTTTAAAAAAAAGTCTTTTTAACAAATGGTACTGGGATATCCGTATGTGAAAATAGAACAGTTTACACCACACACCAAAATTAATTGAAAATGGATCATAACCTAAATGCAAACCCTAAAACTACAAAATACCTAGAAGAAAACAGAAAAAAAATCTCTGTGACCCTGAGTTAGGCAAAGATTTCTTAGATATGAAGAAACTAAGAAGTATCCTTAAAAGAAAAAAAAATCAATTGGACGTACCAAAATTAACGTCTGCTCTTCAAAACACATTAATAAGAAAAGCCATAAACTAGGAGAAAATATCTACAAAACACATCTGATAATGCATTTATTTCCAGAATGTGTAACTAATGCTCAATAAGAAAACAACCTTCTAAAATAAGGGCAAAAGACTTGAAAAAATATTTCACTTAAAAATATGTTGATGGCAAATAAACCTACAAAAAAATGCTCATTATTATTAGCTATCAGGAAAATTAAAGCCACAATGAAATACCACTGCAAACCTATTTCAATGGTTACCTCAAGAGAAAACCAAGTACCAGGGAGAAAGTAGAGCAACAAGAAATTTCATGCATTACTAGTTGAAATGCAGAGTGGTACAGTCACTTGGCAAAAAACAATTCTGGCAGTTTGTTATAAACTAAAATACACATTTATTATGTGACCTACTACATGAATACAGCACAGTTTTATTTATCATTCATCAGTGGGACATCTAGGCTTTTTCACTTTTTAGCTATTAAAATTGCTATGAAATTTGTGTACAAGTTTTTACATGGACATGCCTTTATTTCTCTTGGGTATATGTATTTTAGAAGAACTGCTGGGTCATTTGATAACTCAGTTCTTTTGAAGAACTACTAGGCTGGTTTCCAGCGACTCCATTCCCGCCAACAGTGTTTAAGGGTTACAATTTCTCTACATTATTGCCAACACTTAATATCTTTTTTAATTACAGCCATCCTAGTGGGTATGAAGTGGTATCTCACTGTGGTTTTGATTGGCATTTCCCAGATGGCTAATGTTAAACATACATTCAAGTATTTATAGGCCCTTTGTTTATATCCTTTGAAGAGTGTCTACTCATAGTCTTTACACATTTTTAAAACTGGGTTGTTTATTGAGTTATAAAAGTTCTTTCTATATTCTAGATACAAATCCTTTATTAGATGATTTGTAAAAATTTTCGCCCATTCTGTGGGTTGTTTTACTTTATTGATGGTGTCCTCTGAAGCATACATTTTTAACTTTGATGGAGTCCAATTTATTTTTTGTTGATGGTGCTTTTGGTTTCATATCTAAGAAACGATCACTTAATCTAAGTCCCAACTTTCTTTCTTTGTAAGAGTTTTGTAGCTTTACCTCTTACATTTAGGTTTTTGATCCATTTAGAGTTAATACTTTTTAAAAAAAATATGTCTTTATTGATTTCAGAGAGAGGAAGGGAGAGGGGGAGAGAGAGAGAGAAACACCAATGATGAGAGAGGCACTGATCGGCTGCCTCCTGCACGCCCCCCACTGGGGATTGAGCCCGCAACCCGGGCATGTGCCCTGACCGGGAATCGAACCGAGATCTCCTGGATCCTAGGTCAATGCTCAACCGCTGAGCCATGCCGGCCATGCTAGAGTTAATACTTTTGTTTGTGGATATACAGTTGTTTCAGCACTATTTGTTGAAAAGTAGGAGGCATACATTTCTGAAGGGAATGTTAGCTTTCTCCAAAGAAAAAAAGGGCAAGGTGCTGAGTAGAATCTATAAACTAAATAACCCTAATCAAATATGAATATAAAAAATATTTCATATCAAGTAAATCTGGTATCACACTTTCACTAGGGCAAGAGCAATTAACTATACTAAAGGCAGTGATGGAAATATTATCTTCAAAGTTTGTCCAATTTATCCAGCACTTAAATAATACAAAACACTAATTTCTAAAATACAGAATATATTAGTACATTAGTCAAGTGTAACTAAGACACTACAAATATAAACCTACTTTTAAGTAAAGATCTGGTACAAAATGGATTTATATAAGTAATAAGTTAAACGTGGTGACTTACAAACAGGTTTCCTTTAAAAATAAGATTTATCCTGGTGAATCTATAATTCTATTGCAAAAAAAACCCCCAAAACCACAATATTCTATAAAATGTAGTGCAACTCTGATTACATTTCAAAACATAAACCTTTGAGGTAGAAAAAATATAGAAAAATATCAAAATATACTGCTTAGGGTAAATTTCAATTAATGAAACTCAACTTTTACCTGGTAATTAATCTTTTGCAATTTTTTTTATATTAATTGTACTTTTTGAACATTCACTCATTAACAGAGTAGATATTTTACATACAAAGGTGAATAATCTGTCTCTTCTTTTATCCAGTAAAATACTCCCATTTGTGAAAGTACATATACCTTTGTTTTCTCTTTATCTTTGCAAATCTGAATGTGAGAGAATAGAGATAATTGCCCTTATTATGTTTCCATCTTTGATAGTATTTAAGTTACTCCTAAATTTCTGTAAAACTTAGTAAGACAAACTTTTCCATACCTATTGTTTCAATTGACCA